AGAAGTATGGAATAATTTTAAAATAATTGATTCCATTTCTTGGCGAGTGGTGGCAGTTTTGCGAATTCGTTCAAGTGATCATTTCAATTTACCGATTAATTTTTTACCTGTTTCTAATTTTCGGGTACCGAAAATGCTTAAGCAATATCGTAACGGCGCACAATACTTCATTTTGCTCATATTTCTACCACCATCGCTTAGACCATGTATGAGTTCTTCATTTTTTCTTCTACTTTCTTCATAACTCGACTACATTTTTACTACCACGAAAATAACATCTTTGAAAGTTCACAGTTACGGCCAATAATTACAGAATTGAACAAACATAATTGACGAAACTTTGTTTTAAATTGATGGCTGGAAAAAAGTATCCAAATCGAGTTACAGCGAAAAACGCTATATGCAATTTGAGTTGAATTAAATTTATCCTGCCCGCTTATTTTTGTCCGTGGATGTATTATACTAAATTTATTTTGTAAACGCGAACCAAAACGAATGAAATTTTATTGCCTCTAACACTTAAAGGTTACAGTCTTCTTATCACGAATTGGGTTGAGTAAGGGTAACGCTGATTTCACCCTCATAATCCATAACGATTCTCGACAATGCAACTTGTTTATCCCTTTTCCTCAATTCGACCATTCGGCACTAAACAAATTACATTTAAACCGCTTTCATTTATCCCAAAACAATTGGGTCTGTTTATATAATAATTCACGGTAATGGACACTGTCAAGTCGATTCAGATCTATTTCGTGGGGTCCGGATGTGGCTAAGTAAACGGAAACTTTAGTTGGGTTTTCTGTTATTGGAATAAGATATTCGAAACAGGTATTGTGTGCATTCAAGCCGCTGGAAATAGTTGCTCTACACTTGTACGGTTAAATATTTATTCAAAGTATACATAATAAGATATTAGTTATAGAAGGTGATGCTAATGTTCCCTATAAAATGTGTGTTTTGTTGCAAAACGTGCAAATTTTGGTTTATGAGAAACACCTTTTATTTCCTATACATCTATTAATTAGCGTCTTAGAGACAGTTGTTGTTCGGTGCGTTTTAACTTCACTTTCGTCACAAAACAAACAGTTTCGTTATTTCTGCTAGTTGCATCTAACTCTTCGTACTTTACTGGAAGACATGTAATAAGATGATTTGTTGAAGAGCAATTAAACGAATTGGCCTCGTTTGCATAGAAGTCATTCCCGCCAGTTTCCGTCATTTGTTAATTGAGCCGGAGCGAATGAGCACCAAATTTAATTAAATTCGATTAAAAATAGCTCGGCTGAACTGATGTAAAACGGCAAGTGACATATTTTCCAATTTTATTGCAATTTATCCAAACTGGCACAATTTCTGGTGTTGCGCAAAAAATGGGAGCGTTTTAGGGGTCGTTACTTTTAAATATATATGAATTTACAAACAAAATTCAATCCATCAATTAAAGTTTAAACTTTTATTAATTATTTCCGCAAAAAGCGTTTTTGGTTAATCTCCCTTAAATATAAAATGTCAGGACTTTGAAATCAAAATACGTTATTGAGGTATGATAAACTTAGTCACCAACGGAGTAATTTAGTTAAGAGCAACTGGAGTAATGTAGTTAAGATAACGCGACTTTGCCTTACCAATTGTTTGATTACAGATGAAGTTGAAGAGCCACAAATTCTGGCCATTTTACGATATTTTAAGGTGTAAATGGATTCAGAAAAAATGTTTTGCTTAGTAATATGTCAGTTCATGTTTTTTCGTAATCAGTAATGATCTAATTTGATAAAATGCATCTGTGCTGCATAAAAATACATTTTTGGAATCGCTCGGGAATGGTATACCTATTGAAGACATCGAGGTGGCGCCAGCTTGGAAAGATGTTATATTTCCGTAAATAACGAACAAACGTGACAAAAAATTGCGAAAAACGCGTTTTTTCCCGGAAACAATCTCATATAACTCGCTAAGTATACATTATAAAAGGTTTGCCTATAAATTTGTTCGTTATGCAATTTTATATAAGATAGAGTTGGTGCTATATCCGTAGATTCGAAATGATCGCTTCAAAATGCTCGAAAGTGCAAAAGAGTAAGTGGAAGTCGAGATTATTTTAAAATATTTAACAATCAAAAAATAAATATAAAACGAGAGTCGCAAAGCCGATTAAGATCGGACATACAGTTTTTGCATTCTGTAATTGATAAATAATCCACCTAGAAAAAAGACTCTTTTAATTTTGTGTCAAGTTCAAAATTATGAATATTTAATAATTAACTATTTTTCAATTTTTAATAACTTTGTGAGCGATTTTAAAAAGGTCGAAAATTTTGATTTTAAAGAAATAAATGAATGCATTTTAAATAAATTCTGTGAATTATGTAAATCTAATTAAATTGCCAATATCTTACGATCATTTATACCTTATCTCCTGTTACTCAATGTACCTACTCTATGTAGTAAATAACAATTTAATTAGTTTGTAGCATTATTACGCATTAATTCCTCAATTTAATACTAATTTAAAATGAACAGTCTATGCTCAATAAGAATATATATTACAATTATCACTGATTTTTAGCAACATCTGAAAACGCTTGATTATGAAAATCGATCACACATTGTTTTTTTTAATTGATAAATGTAACTATGCAAATTTAAATGCTCGCCTTTATTTGCCCCAATTAAAAAAAGACAGCATCGGTGCAGTAAAAGACCAGATATAAATAAATATAATAAACCCAAATTTTCAAACTTTTTAACACCACTCAAAAAGTTAGCAAAAATTGAAAAATTGTTAAAACAGCAGCTGTATCTGATAGTTTAAGGGTCCGAAAAGACGTGAAAGTGCGGGCGTAAAAAGAGATTCTAAACTTTGAGCCTAGCACAAAATTAAAAAAGGGACTTTTTTTTAAGTAAGTTATTTAACAATTGCATTGTTCAAAAACTGTACGTCCGATCTTAATCGGCTTTGCCGCTTTCGTTTTGTATTGCAGTCAAGTACTTTTCTCTAAATATATGGCATCATTGGGTTATTTTTTCTTTGTTAAATAAATAATTTTAAATTACATTGTTTTTTACCCATTTTTTTGTACTTGCGAGCATTTCAAATCTACGGATATCGGACCAACTCTGCCTGATAGAAAATTTATAAGTATACATTTTTTCACCAAAATGTATGCTTACCGAGTTCCATGCGATTGCTTCCAGGGAATAACGCGTTTTTCACATTTTTTTTCACTTTTTCGTTCTTTATGCAAGTAGCACACCTTTTCAAGCTGGCGCACCTCGATATTTGACTAGGTATACCATCCCCGAGCAATTGCAATAGTTATCTAAGTTACGTCACGTTAGAGACATATTTGAAAAAAATCGTAATTCTCCTGGCCTATAAATTGATTTGCTAAAGGCACTGTAATATTGTTTCAAATATTTGATCAAATAATACACTCATAATATTTTCGTCATCTACATACAGGTTAAAGAAAAAAAAGATTTATAATTAACAGTCAGAATTTATGCTTTAGCTGTGATTCATTACGTCCATTTTTCAGGTGAGTTTTTATACCTTTGTCCAATTAAGACAATATGTGATTTATTTTGAAACAGAGCATCCATACTAAGCTAGAGATCGGCAGGATAGAACCCTTGCTAAATTATATTTATTTATAATATTATTCTCATTCTCAAGAAAAAAGTATAAATTCCGATGTTATTTTATTTATCAAATTCCGTTGTTCAATTGTCATCAAAATTTACAATTTGAGGATAATTAGATGTTTCAAATAAAATTTACAACTTTCGTAAAATATTATTGAAACATTATTTTAATGTGCGGTCACATGCTAAAATAAGCATTTACCTTCCCAGTGTATAAGATAGGAAGTCGTATTTTTATCATTTACCACTTTGAGAGGTTTATTTTCAATATTATCGATTATAAATACCAAAATAAATCTGGAATATATAAAACCTGTTATTTATCATTCTTACTTATCAATCAGATGGAAAATTTATTGACTGAAAATATTTTATTGACACTTGAACGAGTATTATACAACTTCACTTCCAATTCGGTTCGAAGGACCGAAACTGTCTGTAAGCGTAAGACGAAAATAATATTTTAAAAGCGCAGCTAGTGGCAAATATGACCATTTAATCGCAAACTCTCCAAACTGTATTATATCGACTTGGAGAAGTGCCAAGTGAATTGGCCGTCCTAATTGAAATATGAGTGCCCACTTTATCGTTTAATTTGAACCAGTTTTAAGCTGTAACTCTAAGTAACGAATGAACATACATTAAAGTGCTCGTGGAAGTGATGATAAAGCTTTATGATTAGCAGATAATGCGGTGTCAGGGTGCAGTTTGCGGTAAAATTTTCTAGATCTGAAAAATCGTGGACGTTAAACAAGTAATTAAATAAGTGCATGCATACAAAATAAGCATTTATTTAAAAGCCGTTAGATAGAAGATAATTGAAAAGCCATAGTAAGCAATTATATAAAACATCTCCGCAGCAAAGAGTGTTAATAAGAGCGGAAAATTATAATTTCCATTTCTTAAGATAGAAGAATGGGTTTAAAGCAGTACAAGCAGAAAAAAGGTATCAGTGTTTGGTGGTGTGGTTGCTACGATTGATTAACGTTTTATACCTACGATAATTCAGCTTTTTGTGCTTCAATTGGACGATATTACTATTGGTCTCACCGCTCATAAAACATAGACGTTCTCACGCAAGTCGGTTCCTGGCCATGCCATTTTTAGGTCTGATGAGCAGAATTGGCTTCCATTCTCTTAGAATCTAACACTGATGGACTCACCTGTGAGGTTATCTCAAGTATCCGGGTATACCTCAAACCCATTGCTACTAAAAAAAACCTTGAAAAACCTCCACAGGTGTGCAATGATGTTATTGCTAATTTTAAAATATTCCGATTTTTGTCACTCTTTTAAATTGTTCCAGTTCCTAAAATGTGCAGAAAGTGGGAGTTGTTACAATTCCAAAAAACCTGAGTTTAATATCCTCAAATGCGCGTGTTTCCTTCGAACGCACAAACCTCTCCCGTCGGATCGTCAGGTATTTCAGTTGAAGCGCGCCCGTTTGTTGAGCAGTTTCGCTTCCAAGTTACCTCTGTTTATCGTACGTAGCTTACGTCGAAGTTTTATTCTAAACTGTCCTAACAATAATATTTAGATTAAAGATTTTTCTGTAGTATGTTCCAAAGCAGTAATCAGCTGGAATAGTAATCATTAAAGTCAGTTGCAAAATTTTAGAGTGACTAAAGTGAAGTTTGAAACATTTTCCTTTTGCTTGAACTTAGCGCATCTGTGAAGATTTGGGTAAGTTAATCTTGGGAATTTGTGAGGACTTTGGTTATTATTGGCATTAATGCTATATAATTTGTGAAAAGAAGACTCGGATAATTCTGGATGTTACTTTATTATCCAGAGTCTCAAAATATTTCGTTAAAGTTTGGAAACGAAAAAAGTATAATGAAGGAAATAATGGTAAATTGTTAGCAAATTATATGTTTCCATAATGAAAATACATTAATGAGAAAACAATGTAAAACTAGATTTAACTTTTTTTTCGAATGAGTGAAATCTACAATTATGGAAGTTAATTGTTGACGAAATAAACGGTTTAAACTTGGACGTTCTTCCAGTTTTTAATTTTCATCTTAACTTTTAATGTCATTATAAAATGTATGCAAAAACTTAATATGATTGAAAAAAACCCATAATATTTAATAATTTTTAATAGTTTAAATATTTAGTTTCAAATCCGTTCTGGTAAATTAATCCAAAATCAAAACCCTTCTTTTAAAAACCCTGAATAACAAATATTTAAAGTATTCCAAATATCCGTGTTAATGAAGTATAATTTCAAACAAAATGCGCATTAACTCTTAATTAAGTGCTCATTTATAAAGAAATAGCCATCATATACTTACAAGTTATGAATAATTGTAATCTTATATTTAAAGTTTGTAATTCTCAAGTTATGTATTTCCAGATAACAAATACGTCGTTTCAAACGATTTAAACTATAATTATTTTCTAATTTTGAATATAGTTTTAATATTTTTAGAGGTGGAAATACGCATTTCTTTTTGCAGGCAAAATATCCAATTTTCCTGAAACACTTAAGTTTTTATATAAAGTGCAATTTCTTTAATCGCGATATTTACGTGCAATGCAATTTGTCCAAATCGTCAAATGTAGATTTCAGCAGCATGATAAGAGACAGCAAAAAATGAACCTTAAGATTTCTCCTTAGAACTCGTCAAATTATTCAAGCTCTACAATTGAGGGCCTTAAAGATAACAAGTTTATTATAAATACAATTTGTTTAGATTGATTAAAAAGCGAGAGTTTAATTTAATTGAAGACAAAATAAATGAAAATTATAATCATAGTTATATTTATAATAAAGTAAATGAAATGATAAGTTACTGAAATATTTAACCGGTTTGATTGATTGAAGAATAGGATAACAGTTTTTGAGACAAACTGAGATGAATCCTATTAATCGTTTATCTAATCTTAATATAATTATAATTAAGAATATAAAATTTAAATTTAAAATGCTCTCTATAGTTAAAATTAAAGAAGGCAGTTTCTGTAATGTTAATACAGTAAACACCATCATCCAATCAGCGTCTCTTGTTAGTTCAGGTCACAAAGAGTAGAAAGAAGCAGACCTTATTTATATTAGCAGGACCTTATCAGCTTTTCTAAAGAACTGAGGTTTTCAAAAATAATAAATAAATAAGTATTGGTTATAATAATAAGAATTTGCAATGAATGAGTTTTTGCAAACTTCTTGCAATTTGACTCAGACGACAAATATATTTAATGAAATGTGACTGGCGATTAAAATGCCTTTTTAAAATAATTAAACAGTTAGCAGTTGAGCTTTCGTGTCCAATTTACAATGGAATCAATGTATCTCGACAAGTATTGCTTGGATATTTAATTAAAAGTTAACGGTGATACCTCTTAAAGTCACTGACAACCATCTAAAGGTCTAATGAGATTTAATGCGACACTTCTTAATTAAAAAAGTTTTGAAGCTATAGTCAGAGCGTTGATTAAGGAAAAATAGTTTATCTTTAGAGTATTTCAATATGGATTGGATATTTGCAATTAAGCTTTCCTATTACAGATTCAGTTTATTTTTAAAAATAAATTTCTAATTTGGTACCGCTAGTGCGAAAGTAGTGGAAAGTAAACTGGAAGAAAGTTTTTCAACTGTTTTGTTGAAAAAAGATAATACTAAAGTTCTCTTCTGGCTGGTCAAATGCAGCAGTTTTATGCTGGCTATCCAACATAATGGACAATTTTGAGGCAACGCAACTTTGTAATTTTGCAGATATTTAGTGGAAACATGGCACGTATATAGGTTGAAAACCTCTCGTCAAACCCACTGATCCAGGTTGACATCGGAACAGGAATTAGGCCCTTTAGGGATCGTTAGTTTTCAATATTTCAAAATAATGGAACTTATGAGGCCCGTCGACATGAAACAAATTGCAATGCGAACTGACAAAAGGATAAATTGGACTTTCCGGAACTGTCTAAAACTTAAAAAATGTATACTTAAGAAGCAGTTGCGACAAGCCTTGCTATAATATATCTATTGTTTGAGCGTAGGAATAGATAGATCGGAATACAAAATAAAATATAATAGTGTTTACCGACATTCTTGGCAAGAATGGGAGAAAAATTATGTCGTGTCGTTGCCGGTCCGCTGGATGTCTGATGTGAATCAGGGGTTATATGTGGAAAAATATACTCAATAAGTTACTGCGATGGATAAAAATAGAGTCCATATATTTCTTAACAATTAATTATGAAATTATATTATATTATATACCTAGTGCGAGAAGAAAGCCATTATAGGTATTTAATAGCCTTCTCGACCGAAAAACTACAGCAGATACAACGAAGGTTAAATAAGCAAAGAATTGTAGTTTTGAATGCTCCATTCGGAACAAATTTTATTTTTCTAAAATTTGACAGCAGTCAGTAGAAATGTAAAAAAAACTGGTGTTTGGCAGGCAGATTTTTAAATGACTCCTAGATCTGTCAATATTAATCTGACAGGGAAATATTAAATAAAAAAAGTTGTAGAAAATTGTATACCAAATAGAATGACATGAGACATTTCTACAATCTAACAGTCATTTTTGAAATATGAGACAAACTTGAATTTTTTAATGGCAACCATATTTGATTATGCCTTTATTGAATAGGGCATAATTTTTTTTTATTTTTTCGAAAATCAAGGTGCCAATGGGTTTTACTTTCTCAATTTAGTTGATCGAAGTTAGTCATGGAAAGGAGTATGCACACAGACACTGACGGCAGTGTTTCCATAGTAACAAATAATAACCACATCTTTCAATTATTTGACATTCAAGTTTGAATTCAAGTCAGTTACAAACTTAAGTTAGTTTTATTGTAATATAATGGATTATTTCAATGAAGAAAAGGGCGACATGATTGAAACCTATATTACACGTGATATAAATTCTGGACGAGTCTGTTATGACATTGAGAGCAATGATTTTTCTTGTTCTTGAAAAAATTCAAAAGACAAGGCAGTCAAATGAAGCCGTGGAGGTTAATGTCTTCGCCATTGTGAGCCAGAATCCACAGATTTCAACCAGAGAAGTTGCAGCGGAATCCGGGACTTTGATGGCAGGGTGATAAGAGTTAACAGTTTATAAATTGTAGTATGTTTAATCGACACAATGAACATATTTAGAATCAAGCAAATTCCCACGACTTTGAACAAAGGAAACTACAAATTAAATATGGATTTAACGTTTGGTGCGGAATGGTGGGTTCAAAAATTCTTGGCCAATTTATTAGCAAAGCCATATTAAATGTAAGTCGGTATCTTAAATTCCGGAATGATTTGGTCATTATCTTTGACGACTTAGATTTAGAAACACGGTTTAATGTGCAATGGTTTCAACGTAATGAAGCCCCTCCGGATAATTTTGCCCATGTGCGGAATCATTGGAACGAATAATTTTCTGGCGCTTGGATTGTAAGAAACGGTCTTATTTTAGACCATTCAGATTTAGATTTTTTATTGTGGGGAGCCGTAAGAAACACAGTTGTTAGAACATTTGAAAATATTGACGGTCGGTCAGTTGGAAAAGCAACTTATTCAGTTTTAAAGCGCTGCAATGTTTGCACTGATGATAAAGGTGGACTTTT